TAGATTCAGTTTTTTTTTTTTTTTTTTTTTTTTGACAAATGTTAACCCGAATAAAACAAGAATAAATAAATTATTTTGGAACAAACACCCATAGAAAGGCAGGTGTACCGCTTCCACCTTTTATGCTCTCTCTCTCTCTCTCTCTCTCTCTCTCTCTCTCTCTCTCTCATATCACTTGAATCCCTAAAAGTCCAAGATATCATTCCACATATTTCAGAGCCAGAAGTGGACAGGGACATTAATGGTTTACAGCGCTATACCAACTCCTGTATCGGACTGCGTGTTCCCCCCGCCACGCCTGTGATGCGCAATATTACCACCCCTTCCCTAGACATACCTTACTACGGCTTAGGAGAGAGGGGATCTGTAGCCCTGGCCGTGCCGCTTGAGGTAAGGGGTAGATCCGCACGAGTCCACGAGGCTGACGATATTAAAAAGCCATAGCCGATCATGACTAAATACTGAGTTTAAACTTAGGAAAAATAGTAAAAAATGTAAAAATGACTTACTTTTTGCTTATGTATAATTGTAATTTTAGTATATAGGGCTCCTTGGAAAAGATGGAATAAGAATTAGCTTGTGGGAAACCGAAAAACATTTCTGTGTCATTCTATTCTTGGATTTGTTATGTAAACAGATAAGCACAGGTATTTTTTTTTACTGATATTTGATTTAAAAAAATTGAAGAGTGTTTTACTGAAAATAATAAAAGAAATGCATTTCAGGTCAATACAACAGTCAGTACATTAAATTTGAAAGAGAACTGTTTGGGTGAAAAAGGTGCCATGAAGCTGGCGATGGTCATCAAGGAGAATTCCTTTTTAAGAGATGTGGTATGTTTTAACGACTTCCCCTCTTATTTTTTTCTTTCTTTTTTCTTTTTCTTTTTTCTTTTCTTTTTTTGTAATCTTATTTATCTCCCTCTTTGTAGTCCTACTTTATCTTAACTGTTTATGTGCGCCCCAGTCGTCCAGCAAGAGTAACCTGTTATTTTCACTGGACGTATCTGTTACATCTGTCACGGTTATGGTTTCCTTTTTTTGCAGAACTTATCAGATAACAAACTCGGTAAACAAGGTGCTATCTTAATGTGCCAAGGGTTGAGGAACCACAATTACGTTAGGAACGTCAACTTGTCAAGTAAGCGCCTGGAGTTTTCATTTAGTATGATGTATGTTTGTACCTGAGGGATTCGTAATACACCTGCTTTGTGACTTTAGTATATTTCGTTTATTACGTATCCTCATAATATGAAAATATCTTTCCTGAATATGTTGATTTATATGTGTAATTTTTTTTAAATTAAAGTGTTATCAATGTTAAATCACACAACAGTAAAAATATTTTAATGTTTATACAGATGTTGGTTTCACAGACAAGGAAGCTTCGGCAGTCGCAGAGGTTATTGAGGTATGTGTTGAACTTGAAGAGTTAATCGGCAATGTTTTTTCCTTATTTAATTTATCAATATACTTTAAATCGAAATAACTGGTTCATATATTCATTAGGAGTAGGCGTAGCTTAGTCACCTACCGTTTCTCAATGATTTTATTTTGATAACATTACTTTCTTTTGAAATTTCAGAATAATACTAAACTAAGAGAATTGGATTTAAGTCACAATGAATTTGGAACAGAGGCAGGGATTGTATTAGGACAATCATTAGGTGAGAGACAATTGAATCAAAAATACATTGATTTTTATTATAAATATATATTTATATTAATATTATAATTTTAATAAATATAAAGCTTGTTTTGTTTATTTCTTTTAATTAATTTTTAGTACACCAGAGATCGCTCTGCAAAACTTATGAATATATAAATTATGTTTGATATTTGCTCTTTGATGTAAGGCAAGCAATTGAATGAAATGTTTTATGTGACAATACCATGAAGTAATGATTAATGAAATTTGTCGAATTATTATGAAGCATTTTCGGGAAATTTGAAGCTCCGTGCTTTTTTATCCATCTGACACACATGCTTAACCACACAAACACGTATACGAGCACACATACATGTATTTACGGTCTTAAAATTCCTTTATTCCTGTATTTGTAGCTTCAAACGACACGTTGGAAGTTTTAAACTTAAGTTGGAACCACTTTCGTCTTCGGGGAGCATGTACTATTTCTGAAGGGGTAGCGGTAAGTTTGCATTAGTCTCCTTAATAAAGTTAATGCAGTTAGAACGTTCGGGTTCCAGTAGCTTTTGAAACCACTTGCTTTTGCCAGTCAGTCAACTAAGACCCAATACTTGACCAGACTTGAAAATGAAGTGATCCCTCTGTACTTTTTCATATATAGGTGTAATTCATATAAGCATGCATTTCTCATAGGTAAACGACGGTCTTAAAAAGTTACATCTCTCTATGAACGGATTTGCAAACCAAGGCACTCTCACCATGGCAATGGCCTTGACCTTGAACTCCACCCTGGAAGAGCTTGACCTCAGCTGCAATCGCATCCCGTCCACCACTGTGGCGGATTTTTCTCAATGTTTGGAGAAAAACAGCACGCTCAAAATTTTAAAGGTACGGTATTTCTACTGAGAAAAAATGTTAAGATGTAAATTTGCACTAACATCACTTTAAGAGCTCTAGGCACCAGTAAGGGACACCCAACATAAAACATGAAAAACGTTTACTTCCATTTATTCATTTATCTATTTGTATGAAAAATATCTAAAAATATGTTGTATGGTTTAAATGCCTTTCCTGTTTTCTTCCAGCTTGGCTGTAACCCCATTTTATACAAAGGTGCAATAGGATTAGTGGAAGCTATAAACAAAAACGACGCCAGTAAATTAGAATTCCTGGATCTCAAGGTACATTACGTCATCTACCGACACGTACAACATCATTGAAAAACAATGACAAACATACATTTTTTTGTTTTGTTCTGAGCAGTTTTGGGTGTTTTCTGTTTTAATTTTACCTCATGTTTTATATTCACAATTTAATATATCTACATCTTAATTTAAATTTCGTCACATATTATAGTTCTTTTATTTAGCATTTCGTTGTACAACTGCTTCAATTGCTATTTATGAAATATCGGAAACCACCTAAAGCATGACTGGTTAAGATGAGATAAGAATTTATCCAACCAATTATAAAAATCGGAAATCATTTTTCTTTGGAGCAAAATTTGATAATATAAAGTAAAAGTAATACAATCGATAAATTAAGAATTAGGTTTAAAAAAACAAATCAAAATGCATGGCTGCACTAGGATGAAAACTGTTAAAAACGTTTACCTCTTTTGAAAGTTAAGAGCCTACTGTTGCCAGATAAAAAGTTAAGAGTGGTAAAAAGTGATTTCATTGCGCCCTTTGTTCCAGGACGTCGTCGTGCTCAAAGACTTCATGGAGATTGCCGACGAAATAAAAGAAAAGCGAAAATTTCAAGTCGTCACTGGATCGGTGTCTGGGGTGAAAGGCCTAGAGAAGCAAATGGACAGATTTGGTGACAAGAACCCTCTGGAAATTCTCCTTATTTTCATGCAAGAGCAGGGCATGCGGCTGACGGATCTGTTCCGCACGTTCGATAAAGACCAAAGCATGAGCTTGTCTCGGGAGGAATTCATAGAAGGGCTCAAGGTGTGTGGTTGTTGACGGAAACAACGCATTTTACTATTCTTAATTGCTGTATTGAACGATATTTCCATTTAATATAATTAAGCAACATTGTTGCTGGTTTCTTAAAAGGAATCGTTAACGTTAATGCTAATATATAAATGCCTATTTTCAAACAAGCTTGTGTATCAAAATGTTTATGTCTGATGTCTCTTTTACTATTTCTTATATGTATTTTTGCAGTCTGTGAACACTCCACTCAGCCAGGCACAGTTGGAGGAACTCATTGACATGTTAGACAAGGATGGCGATGGAGAAGTGGACTTAAAGTAAGCAACGTCTTACTCTAAGCGCAATTTACATTAAATTCTTCCCACTTATCCTTTTCGGAACCGCTTTTAGAAAATAAGTCTTTAAATAAATAAATATCTAAGAGCATTGAATCAACATTTGCCGATGCCGGCTTCTAACTGTAAGTTTAAATCACCATCAATATGAGACAACGTTTTTTAACTGACCCATTTTGTTTCTTCCACACCTCAGAGAGATTTTGAACATCAACGTGGAATTCAAAGACATTAAGCGGAAAGCGTACGAAGAAACTAAAAAAGTGAAAGAAGAGAAGAAGCAGAAGAAGCCCCTTCCCGCAATGCAAGCCATAGCCAAGTTAATGCAAAAGAAAAACGACAAAAAGTTGCTCGGAGATGACACGGAATTTGAAAACCAAGCTGACAGAGAAAAGGCACTGATGCGATCTGCGGCAGGGCTTTGGAAGAAGCCGAAAGAAAACGCACAATCGGTTGCCAATTAATCAATATCATCAGTCACTTACCTCAATTACTACTATACAAATTATACAACCAGATATATTCCTATTTTAATTAGCGCATAATCTCAGACAATATAAACAAGGACAATTTAACATGTTCCCAGTTTATTTTTATACAATATTATTTACATACGATGCCTGTTGAAATGATTTCTAAAATTTCCTTGAATGAGGAAATTTTGACAATTCGATTCGAATTAACTAGATGGAATTATATAGAGTCTACTTTTGTAATAGCGTATCCTCTTGTTTGAAGATGGTAATTAATATTAAACAAGTTTTCCTTTTCATATTACCCCTTTGTCGATGAGGCTGCTTATTGGTCATCTGTCGTCTGCGACTTTATCAATTTGTGCATTGTTAAACATAAACAGGAAGACAATTCTCTGCTTTTAACAATTATTTTCGTTATTGCTCTCTGCAAGTGTCGACAAAACGCCCCACCGAATGCAGTTTTTGTTTTTTATTCAACGTGACTAGGATCTGTTAAGTTGTGACATATCGATTCTCTAATTTGTTTTGATAAACGCTCTGTTGTTTAACAGCTGGCCTCAATCTGGTAATCTTGTATTAACTGCTACTGTATACTGTATACGTGACAAAATATTAATTATATCCCGATCTGTGATATGTTATACAATATATATATTTTTTGTTATGTAAGATAAAGACATTAGTGCAATCAAGCTCAATCATGACGAATACCTGCCTCTATTTGATGACATACATTGTATTTGACGAATATCAGGTTTTTGGACTCTTGAACAGGTGTATAGAATCTTTACAATATTTTTGAAATGCATCCCAACACGTTTTAATTCTAGACTTGAGATGCTTCATGTAAATACTTGTATTTCTAAATATTACATGGATGCTGTGTTCATTAACAATGCAAATAAAATATTTTAAATGTCACTGTATCAATAGTATAAACTATATAGGCCTATATTACAAATGGCATCCCAGTTTGGACATTTTAACGATAAAACCTTTAGAAGAGGATGCCAAGGCAGCAGTTACTAACTATTTTAGTCTTACTGGTTTTATTTCAATATCATCAATACTGGTTAATTCTTGTAGTGTAGATTAACGTACAAACAAATAGTCTCAAAATATATAACAAAAGTCATCGATAAAGAAACTGCACCTCAACTGCCGCCTCATGTTCTCTAGCTTTGAGTCTTAAAGCAGCTATGCTTGTAGTTTTTCTGTCTCCGGCGAGGTCGCCAGAGTCCATATCGCCAGTCAAACAACGATTAGAGTCGCAACAAGCACCGGCTAAGACGTGGCTGGGGCTGTCTTGGTGAGGCTCTTTGGGACTGGAGGAACTGCTAGGCTGAGGCCAAATCTGGGCACGCACTTTCATTAGCCAGGGGTCCTCTAATGGGCAGCATGTCGGGCCTCTCGTACTTGTGCTTGTCGACATCAAGGGGTGGTTAATCGACAACGTTTTATTCTTTTCTCCCTTTCGATGCTAGAATGAAATATTTCCTTAGTTCGTTTAATTAACAGCGTGTTTCATAAGTGCAAATATAACTTCATTCTCCATCCCCATCATAGGCCTAATTAAAATTTCCCATAAAAACAAAACAAAACAAAAAAAAACACGTAAAGGCATTTGGCTTTATTTTACTTTAACCATTTGTTCAATTGCAAATCATCTTACATCAATATCATACATTATATCAAACGAAAACTATTATTTGCAACATGCCATTTATCACAAACATGTCTACAATCTACCTACACATAATTTCGTGGTTCTCGGAAGAATTTGGTCCTTGTCTGGAGCGGGCACAAAATGGACCTCCTTTAAATCCCCAAGGCCTCCAAAATTGCCAAGTTTTTCAAACTTTCTCCATTTGGCACGACGGTTTTGAAACCATATCTGTAACAAGCGAAATGATGGATAGAGTCATATATCAATATACTATTGCTTCGTCTCAGAGTTAACGTATTTTTGGAGGAATAACAGCAGCAAATCTGCTCAATTACTTGGTACAGCCACATAAGTAATGACATTTGAGAGAGAGAGGGAGAGAGGGAGGGAGAGAGAGGGAGAGAGGGAGGGAGGGGGCGAGGGCAGAGGAATTGTCACCTGTACTTTAGCTTCTGTCAACCCAGTGGTACCCGCTAGTTTTTCTCTAGCTTCCACATCAGGGTAGTGAGTCTGCTCGAAGACCGCCTCCAGTGCCCGTAGCTGATCCACGGTGAAGGTGGTGCGGGCACGGCGACGCCTGGCGGAGGGAGACGAAGGCAATCCGTCCGAAGATAAAGGCCGTTCTGAAAAGAGCATGGTGATTTTCGTTGGATCCCTCTTGCAGGTTCATAAGTTGCACCCTGTTAGATTTTTGCAAATGCAAATAAACGCTTTGATGAAGTTTCCACCAAACAATTAAAATGTGCTTTTCAACTTTTTATTATATAAGATGAGGCTTCTATGTGTATTTCGTAAACCTTATTTCTGCAGTTATGGAACTGCCTTAAGTACCCATCTCTATTTTTCATACATTCAAATATTAATATAATAATTCTGCTAACATATGGAGCATTTACACACATTTCAAAGGACGAATGGAAACCAACATGGCATTTAATGATACCAACCCGCAGAAATACAGTACATATAACCGCTACTAAAGGAAAAGGAGCACTCCGTGGATTTTTAAACAAACTATAAATCTCATTCTTAATTAAGAAGATAATGCAGGCAGTAACTCATAAAACTTTATAACGCTCACTACGTGTATCTACTTAGTGTGAAATGTTCCAGTGATTTGTGAATGCTATTAGGTCGTAAAAATAGAAACATGTGGCAAACTGTCACGACCTGCTCTCCCAAAATGTTGTTTTATGAAGTGCAACGTTTTTCACTCCTTTTGGCGACGAAAAATTTGCTTCAGATATTTTTTGAAGATATTGTTCGTAAGATTTAGGTGCGAAATAAGAAATCACGATTTTCCCCGCGTCATCGATCAAAAATCTCAATAGATATTTGTTTCTATTTTTGTTTTTTATTTTTCTAAAACCAAGTGATTTTTATCATCATTTTCATAAGTCTACAAAACGTTCACGAGGGGGGGGGGGGGGGGAGTAATGACCGCTGTACGCTTTTGAAAAAATATTAAATTGCTGTCAAAGGTCATCATTTTTAGCTTTTCATTTTGTATTGTCTGATTTGGGGGGGGGAGGGTCTGGAAATAGTTAACTATTTGTATACTTGTTAAAATAATAATGCAAATGGACGATCCCTAAGTGTAGTCTTAATTTTCATGTCGCTCGATAATGACATTTTTGAGGGTTGGGTAGCAATTGTCACACTACCTACATGTACCTTAGGAACCGCCCCTTTTACTGCACCTATTTCCGTTTTTCTGTGAGATGTGAATGTAACGGCATGAAAAATAGAAAAAAAATGTATTCGCCATTAAGTAAAATGTCTAACTCTAACGATATGTTTCAAATTTTCGACAGAAACCCTTAACAATCACGAGAAGACTTTTGATAGTTTTTTTTTTTCAGATTTGGAAATGAATTATAGAGGACAATGGAATTATAAAGCCTCGAAATGATAATTTGTCGATGGTTACATTGCAAATTACACGTAACAGGAAATACGCACTCACAGAGATGAATGGACGAATTAAGTAGTGCTATTCAACTCATTCAGCTGTCTTATGATACGCCAACACAGTTAATAAACACTTTTACGACCACAAAGCGCTCTTAAAATATTAACGAGTGATAGATTTATAGCTTTTGTCTAAATACAAGGTTTCATAAAAACACCAAAGGGTATTATCTTAATTAGTAGATAGATTTATAGTTTATTTAAAAATTCCGGTAACCGCAATTTATAACCTGAGAGAATTATCGCTTGCGTCCTCTGACTGATGATATAATACGAATAATGAGACAGCACCGGTCTGGTTGCTATGAATCAAGACATCATATCGCATTAAGTATGCGTTGTAGTTTATTGTTGAAAGGTTCACGACATATTTAGCTCAGTTAAGAGATATGTTAAAAATAAACTGGATAAAAATAGTGATGTTACGGTGTATTTGACAGTGAGAAACAAATTAAGCACTTCAAGATCGAAAAAATAAATGCCCGCACTTAGACGTATTGACATTGTTTGGTTTTTTGTTGTACGCGTTCAAGACTGCATCTATTTTCACATTCCTCGTTGCAACACTCTAAATATGATAATGATAATTAAAAAAAAAAGACAAATATTGATACAGAAATAAATAAAAAGACGTAGAAGTAAAATGAAATATGAATGAATAAATATGAATATTGCTCATTTGCACAGGAGAATGCCATATACTTGACCGATTTTAAAAGAAGAAAATGTATTGACTGAAAGAAAAAAATTTGTTTTACCCTTTTCAACGAAAATATGTTTCTGCTGATTTTCATTCCTCTCTTCATGTCTTCCATACTTATTGTCTCTTTCAACTTGAAGAGCAAATGAAGTGGGCGAATTCATCCTCTGTTCGAGCGTGGGAGGTGCTTCATCGTTGCTGGAAATACTCTCCTTGTTGTCGGCAGAAAGTCCTAAGTTACTAGAATCCAAAATTTCTCTCACCGTGTGTTGGTATGCTCTTTCATTTAGATCACACCCGACTGACATAATGACTGAAGAATTATTTGACATACGCACTTTCTTATGTTGAAGCGTGATCAACCTGTACTAGTTATGACGTATGCCAACAAGCGTTGCAGCGACTTATGCGTCAGTCGACAAGTCTTTCCTTTGACAGACGTTATCATTTCCGCCATATTTATTCTCTTTCTATCGCAATTATTACATTCCATCCAAGCTCTTGGTCGCGGCGTAAAGTTAAAAACAAACAAAGACCACCCAGACACGTGTTTGCTGTGCATGATAAGAATAGCGGCGGTCCAGTGTAATTCATAGAGATTTGGGAAGAATTGGATGTTGAGATTCAATTACTGTTGTTGAATCGGCGGTTGTGAAATTACAGAATAAAACTACCTTCTCTAACGCAATGGGTGGAGCCTCTTCTACAACTCGATGAATACATTTTACCTTTCCGTCTATATTTTTCATATCTTTGTTACATATAATTGAATGAAGGTCATCATAATTTTGCTGGTGATCACGCGTAATTACGTAATTCGAATATTAGATTAAAATAATCATTCATTAAAATAGGCGTTTAGACATAAGTGATAACTGAGCCAGCCTGCGAGTTCTCTGTACAGCAAGACACCGTGGTTTTTCAGCCACAGCTTGCGGAAACCTTTGAGCCATACCCGAGTGAAGTCACTAATGACTTTCATGTTCCTTCTTTTCAGGTATGCATTTCCATGTTAACGTTATTAGGAATCAATTATTTAATTTCATTTTATTTCAGTGTTGATTACACTCGAAACACAGTCAAAGTAATGACTTGCGGGTTATAAATAATAACTTGTGGAGAACTGCGCAAGCTGAATAAGAATGCGTGTGTGTTTGTGCAAGGAAAGAGAGAGAGAAAGGAAGAGAAAGAAAGAGGGAGAATGAGGGAAAGGTCTCTTCATGTGGTGTATTTTTGAAAACACGTGGCTGAAATAAGCAGGCGTCTATTCTTTATTCTGTAGGTACATAAAAACTGACACCCAGAAGAAACAGACGACAACGTCCTCAAGCGGTTAAATATTACGAATAAAAAGTTTTATGGTCTATATGATTTGAAAGTGTCAGACACAAGCTGTTTGCAAATTTTGTCCCTAGACACGACAAAAACAATTCCATTACTCCTTATGCCGTGTTCATTTAACTATTTAGGTATGGGTCATGGGAATAAATCCTGTGACAAAAATACTTTCCTTAAATGATCGCATTTGACTCGCTTGGAGTGACTATTGACGCGTATGTGTTGGTTTAACTGTTCACAAGAGTGGCGGATCATGGGTACTCCATTAGCCGCCCTAATAGAATATAATCCCGTGAAAGCTTTGGTTTAACCCCCGTCAGGCGTTAGGATACTCACATAAACACACACAAGTTTGAAACGCGGACTCATAAATTCACGGTCTATTAGTTCAATTTTGTGCATTTTAATGCAGTGTGTACATTGGTATCAATTAAATAGGTTATGCGATCCAAAGAAAGATTTGTAATACTATAATGTATTCATACGGTTAAGCCAAGTAGTGAGTAAAAACACTTCCTTTACAACGCTGTTAAGATGCCTTGGAGAGCTAGAGTCAGCTTCTGTTGACATAACAGAGAAACAAGCGTTCTTTTTCTTTTTTACTGATAATACTGTATTGATATGACACATAGAGGCTTCAGGTGACGGAAATTCGTTGAGAGTATCTACAAAAATAGCGTCATCGAAAACATTAGGATTTATGGGGGAGGTTTGCGAAAAGGGCAGGATATTTCACGGCAATAAGAGATAATGGACACTTGAAATGCGATGCTTGATGTTAAAAAAAAAGAAAAAAAGAAAATAATTATTTCGTAAATCAAACCAAATTTAAGCACAATCTATACTTTTTGTAATTTGACATTATCTAACATCTGGCAAATTGAGAATTATGCAATTCCATTTTCAATATATTTCCACTCATGTTGTGCTTGTTCGGCAGTAATACCAACTGTAATTTTGCTCTCTTTATGATTTACCTTACAAATATTTTTTTCGATATTTAGAGCGCTAGAAAATTAAATTATAATTAAGAACAAAGAAAATCATCTACAGCCGCAAAAAGACACTTTAATTTGTTTTCAGTTATTAAAATGAGTGCACTTGGCACGTGATTTTGATTTTAATCTGTTGGTCGTAGAATTGCTTTTTATGGAAATCAGCAAACTGTAAATCGCTGCTGAAATATTCATATACATTCTACTTTCCTAAATTTTGAACATTTTTTTCTTAATTGAATTTAAACCCCACACTATGATAACAAAATACATTTATTAACCAAGCACAATGCACATAATTCTTCATTCAGACGCATGTTTTATAGAGACAGCGTGGGATGTTAACTTCATCGATCTCATGTCAGAGTATGGTTAACGTTGCTTTACCTATTAAAACACCTAATGTCAAACGCATGTAATACGATGCCCAGTTGTTGAGATAAGTAAACAAATTAAGCGATGACTTCTGTCAAAGACTGAGCATTGAAATCGCGCAAGCTGCCCAGAGACGATTGTCCTCGGGTATGAGGTGGTTGTGTTTTTACTTTTGGAGCCTGTTTAAGCATTAAATCGACTTATCAACCTCCGATGCGCTTGCATTGGCGGGGTCCCCTGTTGGAGTGCGGGTCTCTATTCTTGTGGGGCTCTAGCTCACCGATCGGTTTCACGCACCTGTCGCTATACAAAAGCCTACGTGTGTACAAAAGTTAAAGCATTAAAAAAGGTAAGAAAACAAGGAACACTTACCTGGGTTTATCTTATTGATTATGCAAGAGACAAGTGGACCAGCATTTTTTCCAACTTTTATGGGCTCGTCGAAATTGACGTGTATTTGTGAGCAGAAGCTCTTTTAATTTTTTTTAAATAAACGTCGCTTGAATTGTTCAAGGCTTATAGACAGAATTCATTTAGAACTGCCATGTACAATTCTGATGGCTTGAGCCATTGATACCTGGAGAAGCCCATACTTATTTTCCCCTGTATCACATTACGTTTTATGGCCAAATAAAAGTGTAGAACAATGAAAATTTCTGAGATGCAAAAACTGTATGATTTGGACAGAATCGATAAAATTAGATAAAAAGGGTCAATGACATGGGATTAATACGCTATAGTCTTCTTAAGACCCTTTGTTATATATGATGATTATAACGGTTTGATACAATGATTGATGAAGACCCTAATTATTTCTTTTCTTGTAATTTTCCGTGTAAATGTAGATACGTAGAAGAATATAAAGGATAAGGTATCTTTTAATGTTATTTATAAAACCAAATCAGATAAAGATGTTAAGCGAAAATGTGAATTAGTTAAAAGCGAACAATATCCTAGTCATATTAAGTCAGTGTGGCCCGAGATTCAGCAGTACAGTTCTTTCAGACTCTACATATGCTGTAGAACATGTATCCCCTCAAAATCTTAATTCTTAATAGAAAAAAGTCGACTAATTGAAAACACTGATCTGAACTTCTCAATGTTAATATCGTGCCAACAATGCAACCTGAACCACAAATACTCGAGTGACCTTTTGCGGCCCTAAAACGTCTCAAGTTTATCACTACAAAAACTTTATCTATCATAACATATAAGTTATGCGCTTGTCAGTTTTTCGGATGAAACTACACCCAAGTCTAAACCCCTACTGCAAAAACTACTTCATCTTCATCTGTGCGTATGCTATATAATGGGAAAACATAGGGCGGGTGACATCGTTGGTTGTAAAGAGGTTATAAGTTTTGTCCGGACTCCCTGAGGCAGGGTGGCCTCTGTATTTACGCAGCATTTGAAATCCCTTTACTGTGTAAACGGAACGTTGTTTGGTAAAGACACTGTGTCCCGTGTCAAAGCTTTTTCCCCAGCGGACAGGATTTTCCTTTATTTTTCAGTCAACAGAACACAGGACCCCACGACGCCGTAAAACGTGCTTTCAGTTCAACTGTAGGGTGCTTGTCAGGCGTTCGTCTTTGTCACAAGTGACAACTACATGTATCACCGGTGCTTTGATTGAGGCTATTAGTTGTTTCCTAAAACAGAGGAAGAAGCATTTGATATATGACGACGACCAAGTGTCAATTACGAAACGTGTTTTCGTCACCTTGCGCTGTACTTAGCGTCTTAGCCGTTAGGAGAAAGAATGGAAAAGAATGATCCCATTTGGTATCTTTTATTAAAAAACTAGGTGTACGAATGAAACACGACAAGATTAGTTCAAGCTGATTAAAAATTTTCACGCGGAAACTTTAACAAGCTTGAAATCATCTTACTGAAAATTCAATTAAACGCGACCTTGTAACTGTTGTCCTTCAATTATTGTAGAGAAGATTATTGTTATTGAACATGATTTCCTCGAAGCTGTCAGGCATTAAGCACGTACAACAAGTCCGCCCAATACTGCGAAATTTACTGTGTATCACGCATAAGCAGCGAAGGACAATAAATAATATATGAGGTTTAAACGGCAATTTAAATAAGATCGCAAAAAGTAAGACATCTGTCGCCTTATTGTCGGCTATTCATGAATTCGAGGTGTTCAAATATAATCAACACAGCGATTCAGTGTCTATGCGGGCAGTCTTCATGAATATTTTCTCCAAAGTATATTTACTATTTGTTCGGGGTGATGAGAGAGTTTTCACCTGCGAGAACAGATGATTATTTATTTCTTGTAATTCTTTGGATTGTGCCAGTGACACTGTGCCTATAGTTATTATTACAGCACATATTACAGCATGTATGTTCATGCCCACGCCTATGAAAGGACTCGTGATATAGTAGCAAACATATTCAACCAGCTGATTTTTGGAACTAGTTATAATTCACAGGCAAGCTAAAATCGTTCGAAAAATCACTGCCAAATATTAGTATTTGATACACTATCATTGCGTCGACTGCTACATGTATCACTACTGCTCACATTGGGGACTAAAGCGCCGAATTATCTTTTGAAATTTTCATTACAAGGTAGAGCATTCAAAGAACACGCATGTTTCTTTTCTTGTCATTTCCCACCCGAGTAGATATACGACGCTGGCTCTTAGAGTAGCTAGTAGCGCGAGCTTAACTTTACAAGACGCAGTTTTCACTACAAAAATTGACACTTGAAATGGAGAGGCGCTTAGTGGCAATTGTTTGCATTCATCCTAAGCCGGTTTGAATACCGTGGAATTCGATCTGTAAATTATCGTTTAAGAGCCCCATAAGCTAAATCAATTAATCCGAATTGCTCGTGAAATACTTATCATCCCGACCACAAAGGTGTTGAAAAAACTATCATCTCCACTACTTAGAGACTCAATTAGGAGTGTCATGTATCCGTATTTGAGTAGGACCATTCTGAGGCCCAACCGGGGCAGCAGAGAAATGCTACTGGGGAGGGCGTTAGGAGCAAAAGTGAGGGTGTAACCTACCTCCATGGAGCTGAAGGTGAATTCTCCGAACTGTCATACTTGAGGACACTGGCTTTTGAGGTGCCGCCTACTCTGTACAAAGTAAACGGTGCCTGTATTTCGTATTGCTTAGATACACTCAGAAAGAAACATATGAGAAGTAATGACTTGAAAATTATGACGGCAAGGGTGACCCCTCCCCTATTATTGTCTTGCTTGATATGGTGTGAACAAATGCCGCCAAGAACAGGTGAATCAAATATAAGATATCTATTGCCAACGTTATACTACTGACTGCTGTTATCCCAATCTGTGCCCCAGTAGCTCCATTTTGAAAATTTATCATTTTAGGCTACGAGCATTTTAGATCGTATTTCTTTTAAGCCGAGTGGTTTTTAATATTGCTTTATCACTCCCATTGTTCCCCTGCAGAAAAGAAAACATTTTCATTGTTATTATTTGGAATGTGACGCAAAATGGTAATCTCGCGTTCAGATATATTTCTACCTGTAAGTGCGCCATTAACGGTAAAAAGTGCTCACTCTTATTCTTTACTTTGAGGCGCAACGGCTTGCATATCAAAGTGAAACATGTACGTCTGTTAATTGAACATGTTAGCGCAAAATAGAATTTCATGAGGATGCAGGATACAAATGCATTTTTAAAACCTAATAAAAATGACCGAAAGAAAGAATATGATTTTTTAAAACATCTCGAATAATGTTCCCTGAAATCTGTGTCCTTTTATTCAGTTAAAGGAAGGGAACAAAAAAATCACGCATGCGCGCACGTGTCATAATCACATTTTTCTTTGTATTTCTTCGACCCCAATTAATATAGCCAGCCACTTAAACTGTGTTTCACCATATGATACATTCATTCTATTTTACCCGCATCCTGATTGAATATTCCATATCGTCCTACGAAAACGAATACCTATTGAAAAGATATTCTTTCAAGCGTGTTTCCATTGAAATTGATGTATAAAATATTTATACATTACAAAGTTAAAATTTATTTCATCAAACTGCGGTTCACAATGTGGATAATGTTCTCAGAACTAATAATCATAACCCGCATGTCACCTCAGAGCAGCAGATATACATATGGCACTTACGACAAGGATACACGGTTAAGCAGACGACACAATGCACTAAAGGTTTCATACTGCTGTTGAAAGAAAAAACTAAAGAAGGGAGAATCTTAAAGAATATTTAGAACATTAATTGGCAGAATACTTGTCATTCATTTCTCAAGTTAATCGGTAAAGTCATACCCCATGTTCGGGAATCTACCAGTGCTTAACCAATGTTATTATATTTTGATGATTGTTTAGCATATTTCTCTTGGCGTGTCTAAACATTTGAACCTATAATATTTTGTTTTACTTAACAAGATCAATGGATAATGGTAAAGTAAACTTTAAAAAAAGAAACTTAAAATTTATATGGCATTAATTTACATTTTAAATATATATAATATTAAAGCTGAATGGGCATTGAGTTCTGATTCAACACAAAATGGATAAAAAATAATGCTATTCAACAATATGCAAACTATTGTTTTTGGAAGCACATTCTTGCTGATAAAACAGGTAAAATAAATACTCCGCATAAAGCCACAAATGTACTTTAATTTAGGTTGCAGGACCGTATTCCATTTCCTCGCAATCAACATCATCTTCATCTTCATCGTCATCAGAGTCAGATGTGACGTTCAGCAACTCGTCACTGTCCACGTCATTAGTTGACGTCACAAGACTAGCGCTGCCAGGGAGCGGATATTTTTGAGTCTCCCCAGAGGAAGACAGACAGTTCACAGCCAATGTCCTGTCCGTGATTTGTTCTTCTGATGTTGGAGAAGGTAATGATTTATCTTGTAATTTGTCACTGACGTCACTCAAGTCTGGGTTCGGGTTGTTTCGTGTTGGAATGGTCGCCTCTCGGGTCCCCCCGGCTGACATCAGTTCGCGCTCCTTGGAATTCCTCCATTTCATTCTTCGGTTTTGAAACCAGATTTTTACCTGTAAAAAGGAAGATAACGCCGAGGTTAAAATATATTTGTATTTTTTCAGCTTACCATGTATATCGGATAATGAAAGCTATCACTGGAGTTCGAATAAAACATATGTTTGGAACGCGATCTACGATAATTTGACTCAAAAGCTCTTTTTGGCTGGGAAACAATGAGTGCGCGTTTAATAAACTCAATATAAGGGCGGAATTTTCCAATTATGCCGATAAATGTGCCCCTATGTAATTAAGGTGGTTACAATCACTTCACGATAATTTTCCGTGTACAAGATGTAGCACTTAATGCGTTTAAGAAAGTAGTCCAGGTATTCTCTCTCCACTTAATTTCGAAATCCACATTGCAACTAAAATATTTTTACTTTTATTCTTTTATTACATTTTCTTTCTGAAAAAAAGGAGTTTCCCCCGTTTACTTTAAAAGAATCTGTCGACGTCATACATGTAACAGTTGTTGTGTCATGATCTCCGTATCAACGTAATATCCAGAGAATTAGAATTAATTTTTTCATTGTTATAAGATGATATAACTGGACGAATAAAAAAATTTTCACTTTGAATTGTTTTGTCTCTTTAACAGGCATGGCCATTCAATGGGTTTCCCCTTGTGCTAACTATGACTATGGAGTCAAAATCACTTGGAGAATGATTTGAAAAACAGAAGACGTGCAAGTCCCTGTGTGTTGGGATAAGATAAGCTACCAACCTGTGAATCCTTCAGTCCCAACTTTGCTGCCAGTTTCTTCCGATCCGGTTTACTGATGTATTTTTGTTTCTGGAACATCTTCTCCAACCCCTTCCGCTGCGCATCCGAGAACACCGCTCTCCGCAACATCCCTCGTCGGGGCTTGCCTCGCATCCCCTGCAGTATGGACAGTGCATTCGGCAGAGGCAACATCCCTCCTACAATAAAAGCAAAAAAGTTATAAGTAACAGAACTAAATACTTTAAAACACAAAAACTAACTGACAAATGTTTTCATGCAACGTTCATCAAGTGTTTTTTTTCGTTGACGATATGTTTAAAAAAAGCATGCACAGTGACATTCGACTATACCATCTAAACTGCGCTTTTTTTTAATGAAAAAAATAAAATAAAAATAATTTTATTAAAACTATAAAGATTTTGAAAGGCATTCTTTTTTAAATATATTCATTGATTTGGTCTCACTAGCTGCGGATTACGTTTTATATAACTTGGTGCTTCGTAAATTATAAGCTCTCACTGTACACTTTATAATCACGATGTATTCATGTTTTAAACTCCCACAAGGACACGTTAGAATTACCCACCGAATCGACACGTGACAACATCGATCAAATAGGATTTATCTGTCAGATGAGATTGACGTTCCACATGACCAAAACATGTGGGTCAAAACTAAAACAACCCTTGTGCCGCCTGTCCACTGAGACTGCTTGCCAATTAAAATTTTAATTTCTATGAAAAAAAAAGAGCGAAATAACCCTTATGAATTAACAATGAATAATTTGGTTTCTTCAGCGAGACGGTGGTATAAGCCACGGTGTAATTAAATAACACTAAAGTTATGAGTCTAAACGTATCTTTTGTCTTCGAGCATTTTTTTTTTACATTAATGTTCAGAAAAGATTGCAGCTAAGCTTCATATGAACAGGTGTAATTTACATGCGTACAGGTCCTTTGAAGAGCAGAAATTGACCAGAGGTGTTAATGATAATACATTATAGGAAAGTGTATCTATATTGAATCAGTTTGGTCAGGGGTATATCTACAAGACGTAAACTGTAAAATTGCTGGTAGTTCATACTTGGTAACACCTTCCCCTCTAGCCTTGTCTCCGTCTTCCTTTGTTATTCTAAAACGCATATTTGACATTCACGTCTGGTGTATTACACTTATTTTTTTAGAAATATATCAAAAATTTACATTAATTAAGACAAATCAGGAAACAATTCTGTTGAAAGTGGACTGAGCAAACCTTAGTCCGTAGATTGGGGGTGGAGGGGGTATTTGAAACCAAAATGCTCTTTCTGTATTGTCTTTTCGTTTAAAAAATTAATAAAAGCTTCTTTTTTTTCATGCAGAATTTTGACAATTTTGTTTCGTCCCATAAACTTTTATTGGATGCAATAAATATTCGGTCGTGAATCATACCTGTCCGAATGACAGGCCTCCCCTGAGTTGCGCGTAATGTCATCTAATGCACATTTTAATATCACTGAGTAGGCTTAAATATCCGGATTTTACTTTAATTACCTGTTAAATCACTATCATTTTCGAACGCTTGCTGACATTAACATAAGTTATTGGCCAACTCGGTGTTGAAATTTTTTCACGCACCACAGACACGCTTCTGTAACACTTCCTTACCATTAAAATTGAAAACGATGGTGTAATATAGTGATTATGTCCGCCTCTGTCAATTAAAACCTATTCGGGTAACGCATTTATCCAGAATCTCTCTCTCTCTCTCTCTTTCATTCTCTCTCTCTCTCTCTCAAATTACACAAACTAAATCCCTTTTTTATTTTCAGGATGAAATATATCTAGCCCTCTTAATTACAGTTTCTCAAAATGAACAGGTAAAAATACAACAAACTTACCGGACAGATATGGATTCTTGAGGAAGATTGGCGGCGAGGGGTGTGGGTAGGGGTGGGGTGCGTAGTGTATATGTCCAGCATAGGGTGTGTAGGGTAGGCTCACCGGGTAGCCACCATAGGGGGACTTGTGCTGTAAATGCTCTGGAAGAGGGAAGAAATCTGGAGGCACTGGGTGGTAGCTGGAAAAAGCACCGTTAATGCTGGTTTTGGGTTCTGAAAGATTGAAAATAAATTCAATTATAATCATTGTTTCTACAAAGTTTCAGTTAAAGACACCTGGATGAGGACACGTTCATGCTTGCTTCTGTGTTTTCAAAAGTTGATTACATATATGTTTAGGAAGGAAATATATAGGGTAATATGATAAACAAATCTATTAATATTCGAATAATCATAAAATAAAAACTGCCGGAACATTTGATTTATTAAAACAGATACATTATAAATGAGGGGAAATGTTCACTTAAGAGCTTTGGTATCGATCCCTTTGGCCTGTTATTTGAAAATTGAAAAAAAAATGAAAGAAGAACTCAACGCATGACATTTAAAATAAAATCACTTCTGATACTCCGAAGCCCTTGAAATATATGCAAAATATACACTGATAGGGGTTTATAACATTGAACTATATTTCAAAACTACGTTTGCATGCGAGTCGTATAAGGCAGCAAATACGGAGAAATAGTTTATCATAAATTCAAGCAATTCACTTTATCCACAGGTAATGTTTGCGGTGTCACCTTGAAACCGCAAATAATTGATTTTGGTTATTTTTTTTAATGACTAAATGTAGCAAAAATTTAGCTTACCTTTTGCTTTCGAAGGAAGAGACAAAATTGCGTTCACTCCAAATTTCAAACGCGTATTATCATTGGCACTGTTAACATGTTTGCTGCTGCTACTGCTAGCATCGCGATCATTGCTGCCATTGTTATTGTTATTGCTAAGAGCTCGACTATTGCTACACTCCCTGTCTGTGTTGTGTCTCATACGCGCACTGTCTCCGTGTGCGACCTGGGATTGTGTTTTTTCCTCCTGCTGTACATCTTTACCTTGTGTCTTCAAACTGGCAGGGGACTGATGAAGTGGTCTGGGAGAAAGGTTACAGCTCAGTTTGTCTGCGTACATGTGGTAGCCGCGATCGAGTTGTGGTATAGAGTAAATGCGGTCGTGTACGCTCACCGTTGTCACAGGTGGAGAGCGTATGACCCCGTACGGTCCCTGGGGAGGGGTTCTCTGGGCTCCTAGAAGGTTATCCACCAGGAAAGAGGATGACAGACCCCCTGAATACGGTTGTCCAGCCGGCGGCGAACTTGCCGGCTTGACCAAGATGCTATTTTGGAACATCGTCCCTGACGGAGCCACAATGGCAGGAAACATTATCGCCGATGTTTTTCTTTCCTTGGTATACACTTATCGTTCAGCACATTCGATTGAATCCTGAAACGTACACTAAACTCCCTTCTTTTTGTGAGTTTAAACGACAGCGCTGCTCCTTGCAATAGTGTAGGATCATATATAGGGTGGGCGGCCCTCTGTCAGAGCGCACACCGAGATTTAACAAAAGCGCTGAGCCGCTGCCTGCATCTGATTGGCTGGCGTTCTTCAATATTTTTCTCTCACACATCTCATACGCCATGTCATAGGCAGTGCCAGAGGATAGGGGTGCTTGCGATAGTGATAAGAATGATGTTATGGCGGAGCTGATAGAAAAGACGTTATTCGAATTGCAATCAGAAGAGTCGTGATTTGGTCTTTATTTATTTTAAAAAAGGGGACATTACAAATTTCACTAGTATTTCTCACAAAAAGGTGCAAGCTGTGTTTACCACCCGAGTAAGGATTTTAAATGTATAGGTTTGTTGTTATTTCCCCACCTGTTAAAAAGGTGAACGTACGGCCATGCACACGCTGCGCCATTCATAACTTTCCAGCCCATGTAGTACCATAACCTAATATAGCGTTCTACTTCATTCATGATCATTTTAGTCTTAATGACAGTTTCGCCCCATACCTGCTCGCGAACAAACAAGCACTGACATGTCAACATCACCCCTGTTTCCGCCGTCGATTCACCCGAGGTGAATTTATTATTTTTCCAGCTTGTTTTCTTTATAAGGCCAGTAGTTAATGTATAACCAACGAAGGCCTATTCCACGTGTCTCTGTCTTTATGCAGACTGACAAGAATTTTCCAAAAACATAGTTCATTCCTGGCACAAGTCCTAAATTCTGCTGGAGATATCTACTTTTATGATCTCTTAGTACATAGCCATTATTTACGACTAGTTTGTTCTGAAGCTACACAATTCTTGTTCGATTTTGTTGGCATTAAATATCAGTTTGAACAATGTCGGAAGAGTATTTGTTTCTATAATAATGATATTTATTTGTTTCGTGACATTTGCATCAGGTGACATGACAACAGTGATGATTTTTTGCGGGCCTAAACATAAAATCAGCCCACAAACATAATATACGAGAAATACTGGCAAATATGAAAAAGCGTTCACTATGATAAGCAAAGTTCTGTAATAATCACCCATAGAATCCGTTGGCATCAGGGAAATACTATTATTACTTTATTAGTTTTATGTTAATTAATGTATTAATGAGCTTATTCAGTCCAGATGTTTGCCAGATTGATATTAAGGTCCTCCATATTGATATTTAGAATTTTTACAGACTGAGCTTTGCTTTCGGCTCTTCTTTAGAAGATAACCGAAAAATTAAACTTGCAACATTTATTAAATTACTACACATTTAACCCCATTTTAATTTACATTTTACTGTTCTTCTTTCAAATAACAGGATAAAGTGATGCTAGCTTTCGCCACAGTCAACCTTAAATTGAGGCCTATAAGTTGAATCCACCGTGACTACCCATACAGACAACATTCTTAACGCGAAAGCAATAGGGATATATACGAGTTTTTAATAACAGATAAGTTGCAACCAGCGGCTTATGAATACAAGAAAGGTGTCTTGGCGTGTCGGCGATAGTATAGTTGCCATAATGTTAATTAATGTTATCAAGTCGTATCTTTAATTAAAGTTTAACACTTTTTTTGCAATTCCAAATAATTCCGGTCTGAACTTGTACGTATAATGCGCATAACATATATTTGAGTCGATTCCGAGCACCACTTTATATATAATTGAGTGTTAAAGGTATTTTTTTCTTTCAGCAATTCATCATCTAATATTTATCAGTTTTAAGTTTCTGTTTTTTGTTTCAGATATTTATGTTCGGTGTCCTCTACCTGTATATCATTTCTTTAACTCAAACAGAAAGAAATTTTGTTTCATGGAGCGTGATATCGCCAAAGTATTTGATAAGAGAAGTAGGCATCAAATTACATAATCTGTTCCCTCAAATATACTAAGGGATGTGCACCGCGGGTATATTAAATGTGAATTACAAAGAACAGATTTGAGCTTACTACATATACGTCTATAATTTTGATTTAAAAAAGAATAACAGACAAATGGTTTAAAGACACATCAAGGCTGTTGATCGTTATTTCAACTGATAGCTCAGAAAAAATCGTCTCACAATTTTACAGACATCCAAACTGTGAAAACATTACCCTTCAGTTTGAATACTAGTTCGGTTGTTTCAGTTACATTCGCTTATAATTTTATAAAATCGTACATGTACCAAGAAAGGTGGAATGCATAAAAAGTGCTTTACTATAACAAATAATGAAAATTAGCCGACTATTTTGCCGCAGGTTAAAAGACTGAAATGAATTTATCATTCGTCTGAAAAAAATCTGTACAGGATATAGATATGATTTTAGAAAAAAAAAAGAACTGATTCGACCGTTTCAAGAAACTGGGACATTTTGTTTTACTTTTCGGCATTTTAATGATTTAGTTGACAACTAAATAAAAAATGATATTTTTTACATTCTACGTACTAAAATTCATTAGATTATCCCCAGATATAAATTGCAAATAAAACCCAATATCTGAACGGTTCGATTTTACAGGAAGCAATGTTTTCGAGATATGAAAATAAATGCACATATGTTCTCACCTTTGGAATGGTACGAAGACGTGCCACGAGACCGTAATTAAAACGTCCCCATAAGACAATGCACGGCGGGGATCACTCCGATATTGGAGGATGTTTTTTTTAGGAGCCGCAAAACCATTTGTTTTGCTGCTCTAAAACGACGACCACCTGTCTTCGGGGGAGTTGAAACAGCAGGTTTCGTGAAAGAAACATTTGGCTTAATGGCCATTTCTCCTCTATATGCGCTGGTCTCAACTTTCACCGGACCATGCGAAATTACTAAATGATGAAGTTTATTTGATGATCTATTCATCGTAAACAGATTGCGTCTATTTACTTTTGAATTTCTTATGGGTCCTTGATGACCACATTACGCCCCCCGTATAGGACTGCACTCTTTTACCGCTGTCATGTGTGGGTGTGAGGCTTTGGGGAACCCCCGAGATTTCTCTCTTGTTTGTATATTTCATCTTATAAGTGTGTTTATTTCACTTTACAGTAAGAAATGAACTTCTCATTTATGATAGTAAATTCTGCATTTGTGATAATAACATTTCTATCAATTTTGATTCTAAATCGTTATTTCAAATCGAACTAAAATATAGCACATGAACTGATTTGCAAGATCTTTCGTATAAACAGGCACTGAATAGGTTGCTAGATTTTTTTAATTTTTAGTGCAATGATTATTAATTAACACAAGTGTATTAACAACATTGACACATTCATTGATCATGAGACTAGAACGGATGAACAGAGATAATTTCTTTCTCTCTCTTCTAATTGAAAATAGACCTTTCTAAATAGTTGCCTTGCGCCTCTGGACATCCTTTCGTGAGACATTTCATCCACATTAATGTTTCATTAAAACTGTCTCCTCTTTTTTTTCACCAATACCCAGTATGATTGATGGACAATATAATAGTTATAAAGAAATTTGACAAAGACCTTTGTCGATATTTTTTCATTTCTAAATTAGATAGATATCAGACAATATGTTTATTTTAAAATAAAAAGCTCAGAGATGCTAATGTTTTTGTCTGTTCGCTGCTCGTAATTTTGTCTGCTTATAACACTCTTAGAGTGGGACTCGAAATCAACCATAAGCACCAGAGAAAATATGAATAATTGAATAGATTTCTTAATGACTGAATAGATGGATAATGAAACCCTGAATAAATGGACAAAAAGATTGTGTATAATCACACAAAGATGAGTGACATTTTGCCAAACAAATAAATTAAGACACATGGCAATAAGAAGATAACAAAAGAAGACTGTCAAATGATAACGAATTACTTCTATAAATCGCACTTTTTGAATAATGTTTTATAATGAAATTTTAAGCCAATTGAACAATTGAAATGATGCTGGTGACTGTGTATATAGTGATAGTGAATATATAGTGAAGTTTTTATAAAGCATGCAGAACAATTAGTGGCTCTCTCCTTCTCTATCTCTCTCTCTCTATCACGCACACACACACACACACACACACACACACTAAAACATATTGACTTCATTCTCTTTGGTATGAACCTCAAATGCAACGGCAGCCCACGTGGGGGATCCTGGCATGTGGGTGGCGGCTGACATGAAATCACCAATAATTTGGCTTCTACAAGGTTTTTGCTCTGCAGGGGCCTTAGAGAGTCGAGTCAGTGAAAAGTGCTAATGTGAGCCGTGTCTTGTGATCGCGTAAATTATATTTTTCCTTTTAGGGTGCAATTCTCCGCTGCTGTCTTTAGAAACTTTGTGACACTGAACGTTTTTTCGAGAAGTAATGCTTTTGTTTGTCACTTTAATTTTTCGCGCCTCAGTGCTCGCCACTGGTCACTAGTTTATGCGAATGAAGATCACGCGTCTAATATCTTTAAATGCCTTTTAATTGTAAGCTCTATCCGCTATAAATACCGGCAAATGTGTCGTGTGAGAGCTAATTTGGCTCTTTGGTGTAATTGAATGTTCTCTGCGCCTGTTTTCGTATTCATTACGCCGGTCTATTCCTTAGTGCCATGTCTCTTAAAAGTGAAATCGTGGCATAATAACTCGATTACAGACTGTTATTTGCAGAATCAGTCGTAAAGAGTCTGTTATTGGCTGGTGTAATTCTGTAAATTGAAACAATTTTATGTTCTATTTTTCTTAAATATAAAGCACAAATACTTTTTAATGAAAATATATTAATCATAGTCAGAGGATAGATGGAAATATGAATAAATAAGCAATACTAAAACAAAACAAAAAATCAGTTATAGTCCCCACATCTTTAATTACTGTAAGCAAAATGTTAAGCTGAGTGCCCTGGCTGTTAGTTCTCTTTAATAATTTGAATCGATTCAATCTAAAACAAACTGATCTAGTAAGTGCCGAAAAACAATATGGGCAAATTGTCCGCATTTGCTAATACATGTATAGTAAGTGTTATGTCTTTGTTTGATAACAAAACGCCTAATTCTTTTAGGTTTGTTTAACAAAACCTTTT